GACATGGTCGCCCTGCTTTAGCTTCACTATCACTGTTCTGCTCGTCTGATCCAATGTATCCTTTCCAGGCTGTCCCCTATATACACTCGCTACAGTTTGCTTGTTTACTTTTATGGCAAGGCAGTTCGCTACAGAAAGACTGTCAACAACGAACATATAAGTTCCTGCCACTGGACACACGAATACTCCTGTTCTATCATCATATCCATTACCATCATTTGTCAGAATTCCATCATATTTAACGGTCTGTCCTTTTCCAACAGAAAGAATTTTGGCCCCAACATAAACAGAGAAACTGACACCTCGCGTTGGTTTTGAAGAACCTGCAAATATATAAATCTATGGTTGTTTTTTTTTTCAAAATCATCTTTATACACCTGGATATACTATGGTTCTCCTAGAAAAACTGCGATTATTTCAAAATATACGTATATTTTGTTTTACCGACATGTAAAATAAAGTAAAACTTGACAATATCTTTTTGTGCGAAACATAGTATTTTAATACAGTATCTCTTTTTCAAGATAAAATTACTGGTTGATGATATCAATTAGATGTAGATTTAGTAGATGACTTAACATTAACAATACGATATTATTATTGCGAATCATATAATGCCTACTTCTTTTTCAAAAGATATCTTTCAATTAAAAAATGAATAACCTACATTTCCTCAATTTTTTTTAACATTTTCAAGGAACACCGGTGTTGTAGAGTAGGATTTCCCCCATAGCCAGCTTTCCCCCGGAAATTGTACTCTAGAGTAGGATTCTCCCCAAGGGGAAATCTCACACCAGAGCCAAATTTCCCCCTCTTTCTTTCTCAGAGTAGGATTCCCTTCCTCCCCTCGTGATGGAGTCAACATAAACCACGGCTGCAATGTTTTTTTATGAAAAAAAGATAAACGACAAGCATAATTTTTAAAAGGTTAAGGGGTGTTTTTGCTTAATGTTGTGAGAATTTTCTAAGCATATATTTCAAATCATGGAATCTTACCCAAAATATATAGCATTCAAAGAAGTGTAAATATTCTCAAAATATGATGAAACAAACAAACAATGGATATCTGGATCTGTATATATTTTTGGACCTATTTTGGTTGGCAATGATAAACTTTCTAAAATATTAAGAAATTGTAAACTTACTATTGTGTTCAAATTTCCACATTTCTTATTAATCTAAATATTTTTGTCAAATTAAATCTCCTTAGACCCCATTATTGTAAAACTTTTAATGAAAAATTAAAACTTGTGCGTTTAACATTGTTCATTCTACTTATATAAACAGGACTTAAGTTGTTATTTTCAAAATATTTGACAAAAGTTTGCATCATCTATCCTTAAAACAAAACAATGTTCATTTTTTCAGTAGAGTTTGAACGAGAATGTATAAATATAAAATGAAATTCCGGGGGAAAAGATTTTAGGGGGGAAAGCCTATTATACAAGACCGGTATTGATTTTCAAATGTTTCGCATATATCTTTCTTTTTTTTTAAATACTGTTAAAAAAGTATACAAAAACAAAAAGTTTGGATTGTTTAATAAGAGAGAGATTCATTTCTCATCTGATTTTTTCCCCCAAATCTGTTAGTATAAAGGAAGCTTTTTTTTTTAAATTTATATGGAAATTCTAAAAATCTACCTGATGATGAGAGTTTGACCAGTTCCTTCAGAGCTGTAGAGTCCAGTGTAACCGTAGCCTTAGCATTACTGTAGATCAAGGACTTTATGGAGTCAAGCTTTGTCCGTGTGTTTGACAGTGTCCCTGCTGACACAGGGTGATATACATTATTGACAAAGTGTAGTATTAACATCACAAACGGAAGATATGATATCATCTTCTAACTTTTTAAAAATCCGCAAAAAAATAAAACTGATATATCGAGAACAAACCCTTACATATATAAAGACAAAGGTTTCATCTGTTACAAGAAAGGGCGCACGCAACAATTTCATTAAAGTATCAAGTTACACAAAAACTTGATTTAGGGCAACATTTCTATCTTTGTATTAAAAGGTACTTCTGTTATAAATAGTCACTGGCTAACTGATATTTTTGCCCTTGTATCCATAAATCAGAACAACCAATCAGTTATCAATGTATTTATAATTCAATACCAACTTAGGCATCCGCTCCTCCATGATACTTAGATTTTAATATATTTTAATATAAAACTTGTTTGAGCTTATATAATACATGTACATGTTATAGAAGCGAATCAAAGAGATCACTTAGAAAAGAAGAAAGATGGCCCAACAGCAATGTAGCTAACCCGACAATGGATAATATACAATTAATAGGTAAACCTTGTACCAGAAGCTGGTTAACATCCTGGATCCCATATCTAGTCCTTCATATTTTTACTTGGGGAGGGTCCCGGGAGATACCCATTGACTGTCAAAAGAAACTGACTTTACAAGACCAGAAACCTATAAACATAGCCCGGTAAAAATCGGGAAAACCCCATATAAAACAGTACAAGTACTATTAAAAGAATAGTTCGAGAAGCTGGCTAACAGACTGCATCCGATATTTATGAATTTAAATCTTCACATGAGAGGGTCTGGGAGAGGTCTTCGAATTTTTAAAAGGAATTAAGTTTACAAGACCTGACACCTACATTAATTTAGCTTGCCCAGTCAAAATTAGGATGAACGCATACAATACTATTTTAAGAGTACAAAGTTAAAGGAGCTGGACAAGATCCTGGATCCCATATTCAAACCTTCATAATTTTTCAGGGAAAGGATCTGGGATAGTCCTCTTGACTCTCAAAAGGAAGAGAGTTTACAGGACCGGGAACCTTTTGAGCTGGTATGGTCAACATCGGTGAAAACGTATATATATTGTTTTAAGAGTGCCATAGTTCGAAGGACTCGGTAACACCGTGAATCCCATATTTTGATATTCATATTTCTACAGAGGAGAGATCTGGGGAAAGACCCCTTGACTGACGAAGGAATTAGAATATGGCAGAAATAATTAGTGTGATGGGGTGGAAACGTATTTTCTTGGACTATTGACATTATTCACCAAGTTTTACCCATCAAAATGCAATCAAATTATGTACTTTAGTTGGTTCAATGATACATATTCAAAACTGCTCAAAAATCCACAAAGAAGCATGATTTATGGGGGAATATTTCTTGTGGTGGAAGGATATTTAGCAGAAAATTCTGCAATTCTGCACATTTATTAAATTTAATATCTTAGAACTTAAGCCTCACATATATTTACTCGGAGAATATTTTCCGTGATGATATGCTAGGAATATTTAATATAGGTCTCAATTCATATTTTTAAAACAACTTTTACAACTTCCTTCAACAAACTTTGCCAATAAATGTAGATAAGTTAAAGAAGTCAAGATAAAATTTTCAATGTTTTTTGCCTGAAAATCACATATTTTGACCAATATTTCAAAATCAACATCACTGACCCCAACTTTCTCTTTCATTATTTTAAACTACTCGATACTTGTGACTGATCAGCACACAAGTCGTAAAAAGTTTGATACAAGAAAATATTTTAATGCCTATTTAGATTTTTAATATCCCAAATATGTTGCTTTTTCAGTGCAAAAAGGTCACACAATAATTTTCGTGCATTAATTTGCAAGATTTGTTGAATGATAAATATTATTCAAACTATTTTACGTAAAATAAAATTAAATTTATTGCTATGGTTCCATCTGATAAAATATGATAAAGGTTAAAATAATTAACCAAAAAGTTAAAATTTAAGTGCAAAAAGGTCAACTTAATTATACCGTAGCTCAGTAAGATGCACACTGACCCCCTATTTTCGCTGCGATTTTTAGTCATACTTTATCAGGGTTTTAAACTAACTTGTAATCTTTGATCGCCATGTGGGCACACAAACGGTTTTTTGCAATTCTTGGGCCCACATCAAAATTTATTCGCCAAAGTGTGACAAATTATCACACCTTCTGTTGAATAAATATACAACAACCCCATTTTTCGTTATTTTTTTTTATCATATGACTTTTGTTTCTTTTCTAAATATCCGTAGAAACATTGTGCATGAAAAAGTCTTAATTTCAAATTGTCCTCTTTTGTTTAAAAAGATTGAAATGGTTCTTAAACATCATATATTCAAGCACATGGCAGATTTCTTCACAGACACAACCAAGATACTTTTTGGTTTGTTTGGATAAAAATATTGACGCGTCAATGTCACATTTTTGGTCGACACAATCACTCAGACGCTTTATGTTTAAGTACTTCTCACTGGTAAATATAAAGCACTTTACTGATTATGAAAATTTCAAGAGAAAAAAAAAGGAACATTCGGCCAAAATTAAAAAACAAATATTTATCAACGTAAATTTTCTAATCGCCATGTGGGCAAAAACTTCAACATAATTATACCGTCGCCCACAAGGAATATTGGTTGCAAATGGCGAGTGGGCGACTGTTAATTTCAAACCCTGTTTAGCACTTATCCAAAATATACTTCTCAAAAAATCCTTGATTTAACAAATGTCACGAGTGACATACCTTAATAAGCATTTTGTGTCATTCTTGAATTTTTTTAGTGCATTGAAAAAAGGAGAAATGTTGATGGCACAACCATATAAATCACTATTTAAGTATTTAAGTACATAAATTTCTATGTTTCATTTTCATTAAAAATCATATTCATTTATTAGTTTGGAACTTTGGATGGTAATTTGTATGTAGTCACCTTGGAATGATGGTTATCAATTAAAAAAAGAATGTGATCAGATAGTGGGAAAAAAAGGATGTTTTAAATATAAATTTGAATGCACATTTTAAAAAAAAACTCTCCAAAGACCTTGAAATAAATTTATTTCCCAATAGGGCTCTCGAATGTCTATATTTGGGACCATTTTAAGGCCCCTTTTTTCAATCAAAAAAGGTACCTTTGTTTTCTTTGCTGAATGTGTTACATGTAACTTTTTACACATGTCAAGAACAAATAAAATATGTACATGTACTAATTATTCAGAGACATGTTGTTTAAGCCTAGTGTAGCGAAATATAATACCAACCCAATGGTTCTAGTTCCTCCTCCACCTTTTGTATATTTCTCTCTTGGCTCTCTATATATTCATCCATTTCATTCAGGTATTTGACCATCTTCCCATCATTTTCTTTTAAACTGACTTCCTCTTCTTTCATTTTATTCAGTTTTTCCTGAAGATAATGTCAAATGGAGTGTCAATTGTCTTGAATTTTGTCGATAAATGACAATATCTCTCAAGTTTAAGATGTCAGTAAATGTCTAATAGTAATAAAACAACATTGACTGCTTAATGTCCGCATTAGTAAAGCTTGCAGATCTGCTCTTTGTTGTGATATCTTAAGGTGTGGTTGTAATATCACTAAACCAGTCAGCAAGTATTACAATATTTCTGATAGGAATAAAGTGTTGTTGCTTATCAAAATATTTTAATTTCGGTTGTAATGCATCACTTGATACATGTAGATAAAAAATTAGTCTATACTGTATAACAAAAGTTTGCCTACAAATCACTTACATCAATTACAGAGAGGCTTTTTGCAAAATAACTTTTTACCTCTAAATTTCAATTCAGAATGTAACAAAAATTCATGATTGAAAATTAAAAAATTATAAGGAATAAATTTTAGCTGCCAAATATATACATTATAAAACCTGGGCAAAAATCATTTTATGTTTTTAAACAAAACCTCTTTAAGGTTTATAAAGCAATAAACATCTGTAAATAAATGTGCCCCCTGGTTTTGGTCTAGTTAAAACTTGGGAAATTTTAACGTGTGTATATTCATTCCAAAATTAATTATTATGAAATTAATTTTATAACAATATTAAAATGTTCTTTGTGAATCTTTTTTAAATGAACCATAATTTGATATTTTATGTTTGAAAGAAAAGATCGACAAAATAAGGGAGGTGGTGGAAAAATGTTCAAATAATTTCCTATAAAAAAAAAAATTAAACATAGAAACAATTTTAGAAATCAATTTAAAAAACACAAAGCCTATCCTCTATTGTGTCAAACCTGTGTTTTATAAAAGCAAATCTGTGATGTCAGAAACTTACAGGTGACTTTAAAAAAAAAACACATGTGCAGAATGGTAGAAGAAGGTGAGCTAATTCAACTTTGATTTTATCGAGATTTCTACCAACCTTCATCTGTGAAACCAAGTCCACCCATCCCATCGCATGTCTCTCTCTACCCTTTTTTTAATTGAAAACACACTGAAATTCAATACCCGATTTAAGAATTTTAATGAAGAAAAATTTCTTTCCGATTTTTCAATTTTGATGCCCTTCGATTTGTAAAATACCGAACTTTTACAATGTTCAAAACAAAAATGGCTGTCTAAATGCAGTGTCCAAAATGGTTAACACGGAAATTAATGATGCTAGACAATTGCGAGATTACTATGATCAACACAAAGGTATTAATCAAGGCTTTTGATTAATAATGCTAAATGTACTTAGATGTAGCTATTGCAGAGCTCTAATTCTAATTGCTCATTATCCTCATAAAAATATTTTTTTTATCAGAAATTAAGATACACAAGGTATTGTCAATGTTTTTAATGAACACTTTACAAAAATTTCTAGCAATTTATTAAATGAATTGGAAATTTTGCAAAAAAGGGAATTCACAAAGTCAAAATAATGATGAAAATGTAATTTTTTGATACTTTGCTATGCAAAACAAGTTTATATGCGCCCTAAAACATATAATTTCTAAATTCATCTAATTAATACTAGCATAAATAATACTATATATAAAAAGGGGATAAAAATGACCAGGAAAGACATAAACTATAGTACTTTATCAAAAATTTTTGAAAAACATGTTGCTAATGAAAGCAATTACATGGTAACTAATAAAGAGTGGCTGCAGAGGGAACACTGCCAAACGGCACTAACCAAATTATGACAGCTGATTCATGCAATGACTTAGCAAATCCTACATCAACACCAGATATATAAAAGCATTTGAAACTGCAGAGCAAATTGACAGTACCTGTTGATTCACTTACAATTAAATGAATTTAAGTATGAAAAACAGGGTAATAAAGTTTCTGAATTTCAAAATATAATATTAGCAGCTATTTTTATTGTACATAAATGAACATGTGTCAATCACTGTAATATTATATGCTTTGATATCATATGTACATAATATTGAAACATTTTTGAAAAAAAATTGAAAACTGGTGTTTACAGAACCAAATGATTCTGAACACGAACAAATCTAATTCATTCTCAAAATAGATTCCAGAACTTAATACAGAAACGCTTGAAAATGTTAATTTTTAAAAATGTATAAAGTTTTAAGTTTGGCTAACAGGTATCCTTAACCAAATTCCTTCAATTTCAGATCTTTATTAAATCCAGGAAACTTTTTTATAATGCATATATTTTCCTTCAATAAAATGAGAAAAATCCATTAAAATCCATCAGTTACTTCTGAAACGGGCTGCTAGAATTATTCTTGATGCAGCACCCGACGAACAATCAAAAAGCTTGAAAAACTGGGATGGCTAAATGTATTTGAATTAGTCACACTACATAAGTGTATTTTTTTGTACAAAACTTTTTATTATTAAATCTTTTTTGCCAATGTTAAACTTCGAATATTTACCCTGAATTTTATTCAAATGACATTCAAATGTAAATGTGCAAACTATACATATAAAAGAACATAATTAAATTTATATAATTTCAAATATTAAATGGTACAAGATGTTTGACATATTAAACAATGTTTGAATTAAAAGTAATGTCATTATTTATAAATAACAACATTTATACAAGTAATGTGTATTAATATTAAAAAAACATATCTTGTAAGTTGTTTATTATTTTTGTTTTATACATACAGTGAAATGTGTGACTTTTTATATGTGAAAATTAAAAAAGGAATAAATTTAATCGTTAAATATATAGTATAAAATGATTTTTGTTTTTTTTTCTTTAAGGTTTATTAAACTCGTCCTCCGACTTGACCTTTCTTGAAAAAAAATCCGTAAAACTAAAAATCAAATTATGGTCGCCTTAGACTACCTGAGATCCTTGGATTTCGTCTTCCATACTTTCTAATTCTTTTTCAAGTCTCTTGTTTTCACCATCCAAGTTTTCTAAACCACCACTTATTCCATAAAGTTTCTGACCTTGAAGAAACAAATAATACATCTGAAAAAAGTTATACAAAAATAAACCAGCATCTATGACCAATATTTGTACTGTCAACATTGAATAAAAACACATATTTCACAAATATCTGTAAATTCAGCACTTGTATTTTTTCAAATACTGTAGATCACTTAATTTTCGCGACACCTTATTTTCGCGAGAAGGTGATTGACTCTTTATTAGCGAGACAAAATTTTCACGAATTGTGGTCATTGCTCTACATAATCTTAAGGAATTCTATTATACGCGAGAATTAAATTTTCGTGAGCATACTGTCACGCGTAATTACGCGAAAATAAAGTTCTCGCGAATAAAAAGTGATTTACAGTATAACAATACCTAGTGTTGGAAAACTTAAAACTGTTTAAAGTAATCATTTATACTTTCATATGACATCATATCATATCATCATATTTATATCATTAAGTTGTTAATATTCTGCAGTCCACCATATATTCTGAATTATTATGCTTCCTGTCAGTTTGTCTCTATATAATCAATACCCAACTATTATCGCACAGTGTTCAAAGGATTTATATAGCGTAAGCATACTATGCCAAAATAGTGCACAGCTTCCATTTCTGAAGAAAATCCGACAGTGCCAATACTGGGGAGCGAACTCATGACCCTGAGATTATCAGTTCGATGTGCTACCGATTATGCCACAGACGCTGTTATCTACGCATCGTACTATAATATATATAAACTTAGTTTCAAATATTTTACACTTAAGATGAAAAATAAACAAAAGAATTCTTTTAAAATAGTTTCTTGCAATCCACCCCTCCCCCTTTCACTCAATTGCTATTCTCTCAAACTATTTGTACATTATACCTAAAGCATGGAACATTCAAAATTAAAGAAAAAGATCATGACGTACATAATGCATACAGTGAAGTCATAATAGGGTAGATGAATGTAAGAGGTGATGAAACATTGGGAATGGAGAAAATATTGCTGTTTTTATACAGTAACAACAGTCAGCATAATAAAAACAATAGTGTTGTACTTAACATGCACTATGCCTTCAGAGTAGTCAGGGTTTGACACATAGTGCACTAGCCTCCGGCTCGTGCACCATGTGTCAAACCCTGACTACTATTTAGGCATAGTGCATGCAAAGTACAACACTATTATACCGGTATAAGTGGGATTCCCCTTAAATATTCAAAAGAAAAGTACTGTGTTTAAAACTATGCCTATTAAAAACAAAAAAGTTAGATTTCTTACTTAGATGTTGAGAAAGATGTTCATCATAATCCTCGAAGCTATCATATCCCTCCATATACGCTGCATATGTTTTCTCAACATAATCATACAAAATCTAAAATCATAAAATTCAACATTTAAAAGGTTTATAAATTCAAGGGTAAATTTTGACAAATGTTAAAGACTAAAATCGGGGAAAAAAATCTATCTCAGTTTAAGACTGTATGAGTACAACTATTCTTTATTGTGATTATACTGTAAACATCTTTTCAATAAACTTTACCATTAACATTTCAAGAAGTGGAGATTACAATAATGTGCAAAAAATATGGAGCCTACACATGAATTAAAATAATTTTTAACATTCAATTTTATTCCCAAAACAATTCTGTGGTTTATTAGAGTGTTCACCTTCAGTTACTTAAATCTAACAGGAAGTATAAAGATTCAATAACAAGAGGCCCAGGGGCCACATCGCTAATCGGAATCAGATCAGAACTGAAAAGTTTACTGAAGGGGGGGGGGGGGGGGGCTTGAATTTTAATACTACTTGAGAATGCCATCATATTAATACAGCATATGACTTTATGACTTTGAAGATTTTTTTTAAAAACATTTTCTTTCTATATATTACTTTGTAATAATTTAAATTTGTTTCCCAATTGTTTCCCTCCCTACCCCAATGGGCCATGATTTGGAACAAATTTAAATCCTCCATACATGAGGATGCTTACATGTCAATATGACTACACATAGCTTTTCTGTTCTTGGGATTTTCCCCTATATTTTACTATGTAAATCTTTGATCCACCCTTGTGGCCCCACCCTACCCTTGGGGGTTATGATTTGAACAAATTCTACACTACCTGAAAATGCTTCCATATAAATACTAGTATCACTACTCATGGCTTTGCTATTGTTGAGAGGAAGATTTTTTAAAAATATATTTTATATACCGTAATTTTTGGATAATAGGTCGATGGGGGTATATATTTGAACAAACTAGAATCTACACTACCTTAATTTTTGAAAATATCACTAATCATGGCTTTGAAATATATAGGAAGAAGATTTTTGTTTCCTATATATTCCTATGTTTCGGCTACGTAGATACAACGTATCAGAACATTTGAATAAACCTCTAAAATTACCGAGGATAATTCCACATGAGTATCAAGAAAATAAACGGGTATTTTAATGAGTACAGCATTTAAATAAAGATTTTTAAAAAATTCTTCTTTGAATTGTGTTACTACTTATTTTTCTCCAACTTACCTGTTCAATGCCTCCGTAGTTTCATACTGTTGTTAAACCACAGGTATAAATAACACGTACATACGTTTTTATTTTACAGCTATGGCTCAGTGGTTCTTGAGAAGAAGAATTTTTGATTAAAAATGCAACTTACATTTTTCACTAATATATTCATCAGATATTATTTACCGGTGGACGACAATTGCTTCGATGTCCGCCATTTTCATTTTTGTTCTTCAGGGATTTGCTAAATCCCCTTCACCTAAGGACTTTTGAAGTATATATAAAGCAACAGTAAAGAATTGAAATAATATTACCACGTTATAAGTTTAATTTATAAATTTAATTGAGAGTACCGGTACATTCACAATTTTACAGTCATTATGAATTTCATGGCTTTGTTTGTTCAATGATGTGTAACACTAATACCCTATAACGGCACGTGGACAACAGACAAATTTTGATTAAACCAACACAGTGTTAAAACCTTTACGTGTACACACAGTGTAAATCAGACAGGTGACCTAAAAATGGAAAGACAAAATCAAAAACCTGGGCCTCTGGCAAGGAATCAAATTCATCTTCATTTGGTGGGAACAGAAAACTGTCAATGGACATTCCAACCTGCATACCAAACTGAAAACAAAACAGGCCAGTGAAATTATTAGGAGATACTTTTATCTTTAACAAGACACATATACACAGAAAAATCCAGTTTAAAAAAATTCTGTGTTATTATAAAAAGGAAACATGACATACCTGGATTAGATCTACCATCCAAACAAGAGCTGCCAGGATTGTGGGCCAAGTGTGTGGGGAACCCAGAGCAAACATGGAAGTTTTGGAAATCATAAATGGGTAGCCCAGCTCCTTGAAGATTTTGGGAATTTCTTCCTCTGGTTTCTTTCCAATCCTGTACCTTGGTGTTAACATGCTATATAAAAACTTTCAAAAAAAAAACCTTTTACAATGCTACACTACACATGCTTCAAATCGTACTAATATTACTAAGGAACAGTTAAGGATTTCTTGAAAGTAGATGCACATTAAATTTCATAATTCATCTGAAATTAGTGGGTGGGGTGTCAAGGCAAACTGCTATTTATTATTTTTATTATCAAAAGAAAGAAAGGACACTAAATGCAGCTTAAGCAGGGTTATCTATAGAACTTTACCTCAAATATTTGAAAAAAATTTTAAAAGATGTTTTATATATTCCTATGTAAAACTTTGATCGGCTATTTTGGTTAAAAACTGAAACCCTAGTAAAGAAGTTAAAGAAAATGTGAAAACCTTGAGTAAATATCATTTCATGGTGTACTTAATTGTTCAAACTTAGTCAACATGTACATGTACAGTGTATGTCAATTTTATGCTTAGCAGAAATCTTCAATCATGTTAAATTTAAAATATCAAAATTATTAGTCATAATTATGTTTATAAATGATATAAATATTCATGAAGTGTATGTCAAACCAAGGGTTAAATATATATATACCAAATGAAAACAAAACAGGCCAATGAAAATTAATCTTTTATCTTCAACATGACACATATACACAGAAAAATCCAGTGTAAAAAAATTTTGATGTTTTGGGTGTTAATAAAAGCATTTTCATGACATACCTGCAAGAATTTTAAAGTTTAAGAGTTATCCAAACAAGAGCTGTAGGATTGTGGGCCCAAGTGTGTGCAAAAGAGCCATGTGAAAATGGAAGTTTTGGAAAGCAGTTTAAATATGTAAGGAAAAGCCCAGCTCCTTGAAGAGAGAAGAAAAAATTTCATAAAACACATCTAGATACTTTCACTCATGTACCTTGTTTTTAACAGAGGTATATAAAAAAATAAAAAAAAAAACCTTTTACAAGTTTTAACCATCTCCAGCTGTGTGTGAATTTACTTGGAAGAAAAAATAATAAAATATCTTTGGCAGACTTTAGAGAATGTTAAGTTCTAAGGAAATGTGAAATCTTAAAATTGTTCAGGGCTAGGTTTTTCAGTATAATATTTTATTAAAATATTTTTATTTTGCAAATAGATTTTAAGAACATGGTCACTAAATGATCATTTTTAAGGAAGGGAAATCTATACAAACAGAGTGATTTGTTGGTAAAAAAATCTTTACTAGGGGTGCTTTACACAATTTATTGGTGATAACTTGTGTATGGGGTATCCTTATGTGTCTTGATAATCTGTAAATACATTATAAATATTTAATTTTTTAAAAGCATGAATCTTCTTAAGATATCTTAAAGAATATGAAAAGAATAAAATCTATTTCAAATTGGCATTGACATAATAAAAAATGTGTACGAAGAGTCAACATGTTTTGTACAGTGTATGTCAATTTTATGCTTAGCAGAAATCTTCAATCATGTTAAAATATCAAAATTATTAGTCATAATTATGTTTATAAATGATATAAATATTCATGAAGTGTATGTCAAACCAAGGGTTAAATATATATATACGTGTATACATAAGCTGGTACTATCAACCAAGTGAGTTCACTGTAAAAGATGATTTTGTTTTCTGATTTTTCTATACCTCCACCAGCTTTGTGACACACTTGGCCTGAAAGTTTCTGTCAGAAATTTTCCTGGGATCTTTGGGTATTCCATTCACCATTGGAACTCCCATGTGACTACTCCTCCTCAACCTATAATCACATGTTGAATGTTTTACAATAAGTACAGAATTGCTTAACAACTCATCTGATATTCCTCCAACCATAATCCGCATTGCACTGTGATAATACATGTAATTCCAGATTCCTCTAGTCTACAAATTGTTGTGTGCAGGGAGACAATTTGTGATGTATCCCTCACATGCAGTGTGAAGTCACAACAGAGTTGTCTCCCTTCGGATGACAATAAAATAGCACAAGTGGACATGCAGGGTCAAAACTGTGTTGAAAATATTTTGTGAGATAATTCTGATGTGTTCAATATATGTATGCAGGATTAGTAAGTAACAAATTCTTTTGATGTCAGTGAAGTTGCATTGATATATTTTTAAAGCATGGAATCAAAACACTTATAGAAGCAAACATAAGTTGTTTGCCTGATATTTGTACTCTGTTTTGGTAAATTTAGATTCTTCTGTTTAGTAGGGAGACATAATTGATCACAAAATATCAGGCCCTATTCAGAATTGCTAACTAGTGACGTCTTCCTCCTAAACAGGCTCTCAGCGAGATGAAAGGTCTAATATTAATTTGATTGTCAAATCCATTATCTACAATAGGATATGAAGAAATGAATTTATAATTTTGAATCTACCCTTTGTTTGGTGTTTTAGCGAGTCTGTCACCATGGCCTCCTATAGAATTTCTGTAATCCATTGATGGTCTCCCACTAAATCCATAGTTTGTGTGCTTTGTTTTCTTTGAGGAGGTTGGGATCTTTGAGCCCTCTTCATTTCTCACCCTGAGTGGAGCAGCGCCACCTACCGAGGGTCTTCCTCCCACGGACGGTCTGGACGCTGAAGATGTTCGCTTGCTAGCACTGCTGTAGTGGGAGGTGGACGATCGACCAAGAGAAGACGATCTCCTCATGTTAGCTAAAATAAACAAAATTTGCTCATGATCATTGTTGCAGGTGATAGAGTGTGATATACTGTATAGCTGTGAATTGTTTTGAACAGGTCCAGTCCAAAGACTATTTCTACCTATTTAAACCTACCCAAAGTAGGTATTTTTACCTATGGTAGGCACATATTTAATAATACATACTGATGATGAATACGAAAAAATATAGGCCAAAAAAGAGATTACTTCGTAAATTAACAATTTTGCATAGTAATTTAATAGCTACATAGGTAGAAATAGTCTTTGGACTGGACCTGCTAAACAACACTGAACAAACAGGTGAAGGAAGATTTTGAGTACATTTTAGTTACTTTACCTTAAGATTGACTAATGTGGATTAATTATGTAATGTTCATGATCTGGAAAACGCAATATACGAGTAATATAACCGTAGTTTCCTGAGTAAAAACATAACACAAATTAAGGTTTGTTTACAAATTCATACAAACTTCCGCTTTCGCGCCTCGTAAAATGCGCATGCGCATGATAATACACAACAGTGATTAGAAGACGTACAGACCTAAAAATCCCGTATACATATATCAATGGATAGAGAACATAAGGGTACTTCTAGTTGACCAATAAAACTTTGAATCAGATGTAGCCCTTTTCAAATGAAATCTAACGACTAACATGACTTTTTCTTCTTCCAAATCTGTAATTATTCAGCAAGCTTTAAACATTCACTGTATATTAAAAGAAATTCTGGGCATATTTTTATGCAAAAGCAACTCTTGTGGAACGTTCTGTCACAGAAGCTAAAAATTTTTGAACTATTATATTTCTTACGATGCAAGTTTTTTTTTTGCAACAAAAACAGTCCATTTGTCAGATATGGCATAATCTCTGCAATAGTTTGGGTGGATAATGATATCCTTTTCATTTGCAGAATGAGCATGGTGACCATCAAAACCAAAGTCCCCTGTCTTTTGAGTGTCGTTTATTTCATGTGGACAAAGTATGGATGCCTTCACTTTATCATATCTGATATGTTTAAAGTCTAAAGTAAACAATATTTTAGGGGTTTGATAATTATATTATTGTAAAGATATTCATATATTTTTCTAACTGTAATTTGCCGATCTCTCATGAATATCAAATTGCTTAAAAAAGGCCACGTCTCTCTCCCAGTTTGCTTTCACTGGGAAACAGAACAAACGTCATTTTTAAACATCCCCCTTCCTTCTCTTAAAGAATCAATCGAATTAATGACAAAACTTCTGTAAAGTCTTTTGTCTTCATAAACCGTTTACAAATTATTATAAACTTCTTCAATGGAATTTCCAAGATATATGTTTAACTTTACACCGTACGTTTCTCCAATACGAATGAGTCAACCATTTTTTTGTCACTTGTAAGTGATCTACCTTATGACGTCATTTTCACATTGTGACGTCACAAACACGAGGCAAAATGTTCCATTACATATGCTATTTATAGAACATGTGTATGACTCTATGTGTGCCAAATTACATTCTGATCTGAATTGCGGTTTTGTAAATATATATAGATCGATAGTTCGCGAACTTTTTGATCATCCTTTGTACAGAGATTGAAATGTTGATTTTATAGACAATCGTTAATATCCCTGGATCATCTACTTATTTGCCAATAGTCTGCATATTTATCGTCAATTTCAAAAGTAAATTATTTCAACTTTAATAAACAACCATGTCTTACAATAAATTAAAAACTATGATCTTTGTAATCATATAGACAACCGTTTTACCAATAAAAATGGAGATTTCCGTATGTTGTGTTTGGCAATCAGCACAAGAAGGACTACGCACGTTAACTCTCGATTCCCGCCTACATTTTACAGCCACATAATTCAAGATTGATGACAAGAAGACCTACATTCAAACCTGATTGACTTTCTGAATCGCTTGGTTTTGGCTCCTGTTTCAGTTTGTGTGACGTCACTACATGGACCGGATGTTGGAGTTCCTAATTACAACATTTATGTAGTCTTTGGAGATCAAGTATTCCAACAAACTGTTGGAATTCCCATAGGGACTTTTTATGCTCCATTACTATCCGACCTGTTTTTATATTTAGATATTTACAAGTATACATATGAAGAAAAATTCATTAAAAAACCTCTATTTGAGAAGAAAATCTGCTGTGGCCTCCAAATCGACATTCAGATATTATCAATTATGACCATTAATTATTATTTACATTCATATGTGAACTCGATGTGTTCCAGTAAAACTGAAATAAAAGACAGTGCTCACAGAGTCTGACACATCTGTTTTATGTTTGGGCGTTTCACTTTAAAGTAAGGACCAACTAACAACTAAATTTTATGACAAATAGAATGAAGTCAAAATTCCTCCATTTTGCTTATTTGTGTAGCAATATCCTACTATCGCCTGCATATGATGTTAACATCTCCTAACTTAATTAATAATAGCCGAGAGCATGCTCCGAGTACGATCAAATGTTAAACAGAACATACTGCTGATGTTGCTGGAGTTTCAACAACCGCGTTTAAAGTCAGATATCGGGATGACTTTCATGACTTTGTAAGCACTTGTATCTAATCAATTGGTTGAATTTTGGCTTTTGTTTTTGTCAGCTAGACTGTCTTTTTACACTGAATTTGACTTCGGAATGTTCTGATCAATACAAAGAGCTCACAGACTACATGGCTGACAAACAAAGGATGCTTACTCCTCCTAGGCACCTGATCCCACCTTTGGAATTTCCAGGGATCCGTGTTTTTGCCATGTTCACAGATAGGCTTTGTTTATAGATAATTTAAGATCGATTACAGTTCATATCATCACCACCTTTTAACTCTTCATATCCTTCCGTATTCAGGTTCATAGGCGTCGGAACCGGGGGGGGGGGGTATATTTTTTTTCCCAAAGATAAACTTAGTATAGACATTGAACATTGCTGCGTAGGCTTAGCCACCCATTTTCCACAGACACGTAAAATTATAGCTTTAAAATGGGGAAAGTGGTGCTGTTAGGAAAAAAAATGGTATTGAAGTTCGAACCTGTTTCCCCCCCCCCCCCCCCCCCCCCGAAATAGGAATTTTTGTTTAGGTATAAAATTTTATTTTCTTACACTTAGCCCCCCCCCCCCTTTTTTTTTTAATTTGCTTCCGACGCCAATGAGGCTAGTACCAAATCTACACGACCTCAAACGATTTATGTTCGCTGACCGTTATAGTACATACATCAGTCAGATACATTGAATTATTCAATTGTATATAACAGAATTTGTTTTATTTTAACCTTCATTGATCTCTTCTGTCATATTTTGCATCAGAATCTTTATATATATCACTGTTTGACTTGTACCGCCCCGTTTTCCAACGGTTAGAATATGTGTCGCAACACATTCAGAATTAGTTATGCCTTGTGGTCATAATTTTTTAAAACATATGGGTTTTACCAAAAATGCAAGAACATCTGATCATCTGTTTGTTCTAAAATGTCTAATTGATAAATACTGTAGCACAAAAGAAGGAAGACTCTATGCATGTTTTGTTGACTTTCATAAAGCTTTTGACAGTGTTATACATACAGGATTAAAGCTAAAATTACTTTACATGAATGTTGGATCTAAATTTTATAATATCATTAGTAATATTGTTGTGAGATGTGTATTGTTTTATTATGTATATAATTAGTAACATTAAGTTTCTTGAACATTCCAGAGTGGTCAACATGTTTGGTCATTTTATCTAGAACATTCTTAAATTTTGTGTATGTCCAGATGTTCCAGTAATATCATGTTTTAACATTTTCTAGAATATTCTAGATTTATAATACTGTATAAATACCCTGTCAATTCAATGCATACATGTAGATATACAATAATTGTGAATACTTTGTCGTATACTGTAAACCAACTATTATTCGCGACGACTTTATTTCGCGATTTACCACGGATAAGCTAGTTCGCGACGATTTATTTTCGCGATAAAGCATTTTTGGATCTGTTGTTAATAGACACATACACTCTAAGGACCGGTTCACGGCGAGAAATATTCGCGAAAACGAGGCTCTCGCGAACTTCGCGAAAATTTCTCGCACGCGAATAAAAGTTGGTTTACAGTAAGCACTATTGAGATATAACTGGGATATAATTTCACTGGGACATTGTGTGCAGCAACGGACACTCTGATGTATGTATTTTTAGATTCTTGCTAAGTTTGTACTTAATGATTTGTATATTACTGTAAATAAATTATTGTTAAGTTTAAACTGTGTGATTTCTTTGCTGGCATTTAAGGTTATTTGCATAACAGAATTTGTTCCGGGATAAAGAATTTTTGCACTTTTGCAGTTTATTGTTATAATTTTGCTCATTAATTTTTTGTTAAATTAAATTATAAGCCAGCAGAAATCAACATGGAGGTCACAGACTTTTTAGTTCACCAAGTGTTCAGGTTTTTGATACGTTAAAAAAGGATGACTTGATCGCATTAGGTTTGCATTTTGGGTTAGATGTTAAATCCTCTCAGAGAAAGCAAGACATTAGAATTAAGGTTGCAAACAAACTAGTAGAAGAAAACATCTTTGAAAAATACGATCTTCCAGAATATACAGTTAAATCAGAGTTAGGCTCTTATAAAATGTCAGAATTTCAGTATCAAGTAGAGTTAGAGAAAATGCGATTTGAAAGAGAAAAATTAGAAAGAGAAGAAGAAAAAGAAAGAGAAAGAGAAAGAGAGAGAAACGAGAGCGTGAACGAAAATTTGAATTAGACAAATTAGCAGCAGAAAGAGAAGAGCGTGCAATGAACTTTGAGTTAGAGAAATTAAGATTACAGCATAAACCAGAACCCTCATTTGTCAAGAATGAATTTGATGCAGCAAAAAATATTAGGTTAGTTCCGAAATTTCAAGAAAAATCTGTAGACAAATATTTTCCCCAATTCGAAAAAGTCGCAGAGAATCTTAAATGGCCACAACATGTTTGGTCAACAATGTTACAAAGTGTACTGGTTGGCAAAGCAGCTGAGGTATACTCTGCACTAGGGGTAGCTGAAAGTTCAGACTATGAGAAGGTCAAAGCAGCAATATTAAAAGCATATGAATTAGTACCTGAAGCATATAGACAAAAATTCAGAAAGTATAGGAAGTTTGATAATCAAACATTTGTTGAATTTTCACGAGAGAAAGAAGATTTATTCGATCACTGGTTTAGATCTAAGAAACTTGATAAAACTTTTGCTAATTTGCGCCAAGTCATCCTGGTAGAAGAGTTTAAGGAATGTGTTCCTCAAGATTTGAAAACACATTTAGAAGATAAGAATGTGAAAACTCTTGAAGAGGCAGCAGTCATATCTGATACTTATGCTCTGTCTCATAAAAAGAATTTTGTATCAAGATCTCAGACTAGCAGTAATTCTACCAATTCAGACACATATAAAAAGAGTGGTTCAGGGTCTCAGTCT